ATACAGTCGGGCAGTTGTATACAACGTAGAAACTGGCACATACGTGGATTGGTTTCAGTTGTTATACCACATCAGTACAGCGAGATGAAATCATCAAGATAAACCCCAAAGTATTAGAATCAGTAAAAGAATCAACAGTAATACAAAAGAAGTGTAAGATTTTGAGACTCAGGAACTTACACAAGACAAAGAGTGAGTGCATTTATACATTTGAATAAAGTCGACAAAACTTTATAATTCGTGCCGGAACTTTGTCAGATACCAACCCAAAGTAATGATAAGAAAACAAAGACACGACTAAATGATCACACCTGTTTATTTCATTTTTAATGTCACACTTATCGCACAATAACAGTGTCATTAATCTAATAAAATATAAACAGATAGGGTAAAATTTAAACTTGAAGCTCGGAAATCTGTAGGTCAATGATTACTAAATTATAATACCATACTATGGTAAAGTTTCTACATTGCTAATTATGTATGGAGACTTGGACATATGCACGTTTGTCCCAAGGTCTAGATTGGTGTCTGTCTGGTTGCTTATACCGAGTGTTGTTGACCCGAATGAAGGATTCAGTAGGTGCCTAACTCTGAGATCAGCAGGTTGGATTCCGTAGTGATCGATGATGTTCCGATCACATAGCGAAATTACGAATCATTATGGAGCTATCAGTTGTATGGGACTCACCACTATAGATTAACTACCTTGACTACAAAAAAGCATTTGGCAGTGTGGACAGGATGACACTGTGGAGGCTTCTTCGAAACTACGGTGTAACTGAGATGATAGTCAATATCATAAGGAATTCTAATGATGGACTACACAGCCAGGTCATGCATGGGTGACAGCTCACAGATTCATTCCAAGTGAAGACCGGTATCAGACAATGTTGCTTACCCTCACTCATTCTTTTTCTTCTGGATCGAGCAAACCTTAACATCGGGGAAGCATGGAATACAGTGGGCAGCTTGGATGAAGCTGGACGATATAGACTTCGGAGATCACCTTCTATAGCACATGCAACAACAAGTTCAGGAGAAGACGGCCAATGTAGCAGCAGCCTCTGCAGCAGTAGACCTCAACATACACAAGAGAAACAGCAAGATCCTCCGATACAACACAACATGCACCAACCTAATCACACTTGGAGGAGAAGCTTTGGAAGATTTGGAAACCTTTACGTACCTGGACAGTAAAATTGATAAACAAGGTGGATTTGATGCAGATGTGATAACACTGATTGGCAAAGCAATCGAAGAACATCTGGAACTCGAAACAAATGTCAACCAACACCAATGTCAGATATTTCAACACAAACGTCACGATAGTTCCATTACATGAAACGGAAACTTGGAGAACTACACAAGCCATCATCCACAAGATAAAGGTGTTTGTTGAAAGTTGTCTAAGCAAGATACCGCAGATCCATTGGCCAGACTCCATCAGCAACAACCGACTGTGGGAGAGAACAAACCAGATTTCAGTTGGGCAATAAAGTAGGCAAAAACACTAGGGGTGGAGGATGCAGGAAGCAGCCAAATGCGTCACGGAGCGAGCCCTAACTTGGAACCCTAAAGATCAAAGAAAAAGAAGTAGACCAAGGAACTGGAAAGAGAGACCTAGGACAAAGTTGGCTGGAGAATGCTGGTCAGCGGCCTATGCTTCACGAGGTAGCAGGTGCAATTAAGTATAAAATGTTCTTCTTGAAAAGTATAGCATAATTATAAAGCCGATCTCTTGAATTTAACGGTAATATTTTAAATGACTTTGAAAACAACTAACTAAATCTATGGATATACGACATAGTTCATACAAAAAATACAGCAAACAAATATGTAAAGTGAAAAGTTTTTAAATTTTCTACGTGAATGTGGACAGCGAAAACCAAACATTGATTTGTTCAAAACGCTGAAAATAAGTGAATAAGCGATACCTATCCCAGATTTTCATATCAGTATTTGGTTTAAAATATCATAACATATCAACAATAAAGCCAACTGGGTTAAATAATGATAAATTACTAAAAAAATGTGAATTTATTCTTAGATTGTTTAAAAATATTTTTAGTGTTATGTATAAATCATGCCATTTTATTTGTGCAACTTTATACTTAATCTTCAGATAAATAAAACTAAAGTATATTACAATGAAAATATCACCTCATTAATAAAAAAATAATGTGAAGTAGTCAAGAAGGTCAAGGAGAAACAAAAGAGAAAACAACTTAGTTAGTTAAATAATAATAAATAAAACAAAACATCTGTTATTATGAAAAATATATGTAGTTTTATTGTTCTTTTTGACTAACAAGAAAATGCATAGATTTTGTGTGAGTTTAATGTATATGCCAAAGACCATATAAGCATTTTTGACCTTTGCATTCTTATTCTGATCACGTGAGTTAAACCAGAAAATAAAATTACAAACTACGGTGTCCAACGTCTTATTATCAATGAAAAAGCTGATCAAAATATGGATGTAACAAAACAAATGAAAAGATTATTTTCTGTATAAAACAATCCGAAAGAACTAACTGGTAAAATAAAAGAAGGCTCATAGAGATTGTTAAATTTTGTACATTGTTAACAGAAAGCAGTGAATAATTATTTCTATCTAATGTAGCACTGTCCAACAGTGAGTATCCATGATCCAATCAGGAGTCGGACGCACAACTTCCAAGTCTGGCACTGATCACTAAGTAGTTATCTTTCGTTAACTTACATTATTAACTTCAATCAACTAACAGAAGTGTGAGAATCCAATATAAAGTCGATAATAAATTCTATAAGGTTAGTTAGCACTTGAAAGCAGATATATTCTCCCATTTTAAATATACTATAACAAAAAACTTCAAATTGACAAAAACAGCATTGAACAATATTAACAATCATGATTTTGTAACTTTTGCATGACCAACGAAGGAAGTTGACAATTATGCGATTACCAAATGAAAAAATCAATATTAAGTTTTGACTCCATCTATTTATTCAAAAATGGTCAATGATACTCATTTTGATAAGGCTTAAATTTAGCATGAGTGGTTCATTTCGACTAGTACAAATTCACAATCTCATCAACTAATCTACCATTCATGGTTTAAACTATTTTCTGAGGTCAGTTAGACATTATAAATACTACTATTTTACTTATCGACTGGTACAGAATATAAATAAGAATAGAATTGAATAGTTAAATGAAAACGACGTTTCTTAAAACATTTGCTACAAACCTTTTCAAAACCTTTCAGATCTGTTACCGTAGCATTCATTTTCTTCAAAACAAAACTATTAACCGTTTCATTTTGGTTAAGTTCGGAGTCCGAATATTTCTGATGTTGCAGCACCTTACCAGCGCGTAGAGAGGAACGTACTTGGCATCATCTTTGTAGTTATTCACTTCACTAAGAGTCTGAAGGTGTATTTTTTCCCATTTTATCCCAAAAGCATGCTAATACATTGGAATATGTCTAATCTCGAGTTAAACATTCAGTTTTTTGACTCTACTTTAAACCCATTAAATGCGCACCAAATAATTGGATCTTTGCCAATCAAAGCATAAGAGTCTTAGAGTTGATCTCCGAATAACTCATTGTGTCAGAAACATTACTAGTTATCGTCTAAAATACTTAACCTTGGTTCCAATACAAGTCATAGAAGAGGTGGCCAGAAATCATGATCATAGTGTGGCGAACTGGACCGTAGGCACACCTTTAATGCAAGTGGTTGGATCCCGGAACTCTATATCTGCTGAGGTAGTCCGAGCGACTTCCCAGAAGTCCTTTAGGAGGAAACTTGTCACATTTTTAAGGACACCAGAAAGCTTTTCATATTCGTTTATTAATGTCACTCTCTTGCTTGTCTAATATACCTACGTTCCTAGCTGCAAACATTGACTATACATGGATATACATGAATATACATGGACTTGACAAACTCTCCTTCCCTGCTTGTAACAGCTTTGCCTGATGTATATCTTCAAGCTTACTAGTCATTATCATTGTATTCTCCTTAAATCACTAACTTATTCCATCATTGACTATACATGGATATACATGAATATACATGGACTTGACAAACTCTCCTTCCCTGCTTGTAACAGCTTTGCCTGATGTATATCTTCAAGCTTTCTAGTCATTATCATTGTAATCTCCTTAAATCACTAACTTATTCCATCCTCGCACACAACATCGACTACCAACTTATTTAATTCTGAACTCTCATTAACATCAGAATTTTTCCTTATCATTCTCCATAGTCCTACTTGGTGAAGACGCTGACAAAATGCGGCGTCTCTTGAGTACCCTAAGCAAAAATGCAAGCATGTTCCGGATGCGACTGTGCACCTCGAAATGCAGAATGTTGCTTCAAGATTGGGTTGCGTCGGCACCTGAACTAGTGATAGGGAAGGAAGAAGTTGAGCGTGTTGACCGTTTCACTTATCTGGGGAGCCTCCTCAGTGCTGATGGGCTGGTGTGTGAGGACGGATACAGAAGGCCAATCGGCTTTTGTCAACCTGCTCCACTTATGGCGTAGGCGAGATATACGTCTGCTAACCAAAGGACGATTCTACTGTGCAGCCGTCCGCTCTTTCCTAGTATATGGATGTGAAACATGACCGGTGAGAGTTGAGAATATTCACAGGTCATTAGTATCCGATTATAGATGTCTTTGAAGCATCGTGGGACAACTGAGTAAGCAGCGCTGTTGTTAGAATACGAGTACCATGTAGGGGTGACAAGTAAATAGATGAAGTATTGAAACTGCATCAGTTGAGGTGGTTTGGAAATGTGTTACGTATACTCAACTACCGACTGCTTTTTCCAAGCTGTAGAAAAACAACTGGAATCGAGGGCAAAGAATTCATTTGGTTGAAGCTAGCTCATTCAAAACATAATGGATATTGGATGGTAAGAACAAGAATCGAGCACAAAGAAACCAAATGGTTTATACTTCTCTTTGAAGAGGAAATTTGGTATTGGATATTGGAAGTCGTTCAACTTTGGCGTTACATGTGGATTGTTAACCATTAATCTATAGGAGTAAGTCGTTGCACGTGGTTGTAAGAATAACTATCGGAGGTAGTACTATCTGGGCCTGATAGTTATGGAATTTGTCTTTGTCGTCGATTGTATTTTTTCAACATACAGGTCGGTAACTTAATTCAATCAGTAATAGGCCTGTTCTAATACTTCTTAGCGTGTTTCCAATTGTATTATCTTCTCTTTTCGGCAAGTCATCCAAGAAATCATTCGTTTGGTAGTACCTTGCAGTAGATTGAAGTGCAGAAAAAAGAACAAAAATAAATCTTAGGGATGCTATTCAATACAAGTTATTCCTAGATTCTAGACCCACACCCCTTCATGACGTTGCGGTAAAAATTTGACAGTAATTATATATTCACTGACATGATGGGTAACTAAATGTAATTCTATGGTCTGTGAGACGCTTTTTTACAGTAGGGTGCTTATAAGTACTGGTTTTCAAAGGCGTTATGCGTTGTAACTGAATGACTGACGTTTAAAGAAGAAATTTCGACCATTCAGTCTTTGTCGTCCACTTACAACAAAAGCTATTAACGCGTCTATGCCTGTATCTGGCTTTCCCCATGCATCGAAGTTCAAAGCCTTTTCTGAAATTACAGAAGTTTACTATGTGCATCTAGGAAATCCATCAGAGTTCAACTTAATGATAAAAGAGGCAAGAATACATTTCAGAATAACTAAAAACCAGTGAGTCAACCGTGTAAGTAACGTTCACCCCATGGCAACTTCAAATGGTGTCCAAAAACTTTGGAAACCTGTGATACATATATCAATAACTTAAACCAAAAGTGTCAGAAAAACCATTGGATTTCAGTAGCATTGACTGGATTATTAAATGCTCGGAAACTCGTTTCGCTTGGCTCTAAGCACAATCAAGGATAAAGGCAGCTTAAATACTGGTTGGTAAATAGCTAACGCCGTGGTCATAAGCAGTTGTGAGTAGCGAAAGCAGAGATGGAAAAGACAACCGCGATTGGTAACAGTAGACTACTATTCAGAATTATCAAGGAAACCAGAATTATAAATCCGACTGTTAGTATGACAATCTCGGAAAGAGATGGAACTATTATTTTCATCTCAAGATATTGTATCGATAGGCCGAGCACTATAAGGTGCAATTTAACTAGCCTTCAGCCACATTTCACTTACCCACGATCTCCAGTCAACCTGAATGGCAGTCTTCCGACTCTTAATGAGCTTGAAAGTGCAATCTAAAACGAGGGAGTTCCGAGGGTTCTGATAGACTAACCTTTGAGATTTTTAAGGATGGTGGTCCAGTTGGATTGACTGAAACCTTAGATAGAATATAAAAACTGGATGTAATCCCATCTGACTGGTCAGTCAGTTAAAATGTAGAACTTCGTACGTACGTACATCATTTCAGGTTGCTATACCACATTAGCCCAGATGCGCAATTGTCGATTCAGATCCCTAGTGTTAGAGGTATTAGGGGTATCAGCAGTAATCCTAAAGATTATGGCCCGAAAGCGTTATCCAAGAAGTATAATCTGGTGAAATAAACTCAAAAAGAGAAAGGTGATGACGAATCCAGAAGATTAGAATTTGAGAAAAGTCAAAGAGTGAATGCACCTGAGCCTTTCCAAACGGTTTTGAGCCATGTCATTCAAGGTCTTTAACCATTGGTTACTATCATCTCGTGGACCCCAACCAGGTAGTCTACACTTACCAACATGACTCAGTTCACTTGTCAGTGACTTCATAGATCTGTGCCATGTTTTGGTTTGGCCTTCCCTAGCTTTCTTCGAACCTACTCTTACACCGCAATACATAGCTCGTCGAGGCAGTTGGTGGTTGGGTATTCGTAACACATATCCCGGCCACATACACTTAATCAGGTTCTGAAACATTATTACATTTCTATATCCGACATATGTTGTATTTTTCGACCTTAAGGTGGCGTTTGACTTTGTCAATCGTAAGGTTCTGTAGCAATGTCTGTCATTGAAAGGAGTACCAAAATACATTAACCTTGTACAGGCTTCCTATTCGAACAATGCTGGTTGATTGAGAGCTCATGGTGAACTGTCATCGTAATTAAATACCTCGAATGGTGTTCGTGTGAGTTGTCCACTTCCCTTACCTTCTGACTTCTTGGGGGTTGACCTCCCACCAGAAGATTCACTTATCAACCGAGAACACATAAATGATAGGTTTGTTTGGTGAAGAAGACGAAAAAATGCACTCTTCTGACCACTTTCAGCAACAATGCAAGCTTGTTTGGGGTTGTTTTTCGCTCCAAATGCAAAGTGTAGCTTCAGGATTGGTTTTAGTCGGTGCTAGAATTAGTGATAGGAAGTGAAGTCAGTCAGTCAGTCAGTTGCAACGTAGAACTTCGTACGTATGTACATAAGTTCATGTTGCCATACCACATCAGCACAGAGACGCAAATATAGGAAGTGAAGTAGTTGAGTATGTTGACTGCTTCACTCATCTTGGTAGTCGTGTCAGTCGTGATGGCCTGGTGTATGACAAGATCTCGGCACCTATAAAGAAAGTTCAACTGCATTTTGTCAACTCGCTTCATTTATGCTGTAGGAGAGATACCCGTCTGCTAACCAGAAGACGAGTCTACTGCGCATTCGTTTGCTGCATCCTACTATACAGATGTGAAACACGGCCACTGAGAATTGAGAATATTTGAAGCTTACTAGTATTTGATCATAGATATGTTCAAAACATCACTCATATATTCTGGGACCACCGAGAAAGCGATGCCGATGTTAGGACAGGGATACTATGTAAGGATACCAGATCGATTAATGCGGTAGCGAATGTTCACTGGTTGAGGTGGTTGAAACATGTTTTACGTATGCCCAACCACCGACTATCTCGAAGAGCAATGTTTGGTGATGTAGGGGTAGTTTGGAAGAAAGCTAGGGACTGCCGGATCAAAACATTGCACAAATTCATTAAGTCACCGACAGTTGGGCTGGGTTATGTCAGTATGTATAGACTACCTGGTTGGAGTCAACGTGACAGTCGTAACCAGCGGTTAGAAACGTTGAATGACGCTTCTCGAAATCGTAGGTGCACTTTTTCCTTGTCTTCTCTCATATTCAAAGTTTATGAATTCACGATGATTTTTCTCCCTCACTGTTTTTATATTTTCTCTTGATTCCTGGAAACTTGGACTGATGTACGTACATACAAAGTTCTACGTTGCATCTAACTGAATGTAGTTTACTGGCTGGCCATTCCCCCAATATTTTGCATGTCATGCCATTTCCAGAGTTCTACTGTCCACCATCTAACAATTAGTGGGTTTTGAGAAAGATCACAATGGTGTTCTTGATAAATTTTAAAGATTTTACTGATCGATAGGTTCATCATTTGATGAAAGCCACTAAGATATTTTTTTTCGGATCGTGATGACCTGCATTTATTCACTGTGGTGGGTACGTTCGCAGAGTGACTGAGAATTTTTAGTGAAGCGTCGTCATAGAATCAAACGACCGTGCTTACCTCCCTGCATCTAAAGTGCATAATACTGTTTGTATGTGTAGTTGGTTAGCATCCGAATAATAATCTACTTTGTTTTGTTGCTGATTATTCATTACAGAGCGCTTTGTGTGATTACTTCGCTGCAGTAAACGGCAGAAGTCCTTGCTTTATTCGAGTTATCCTCTATTTTTGAAAGGCACTCTAATAATCAAGATGGTAACCCCTTGGTGTATTTTAGTTGTTAAAAGTATGCTAGAATAGTCATTTCCGATGCTTTATATAAAATTAAGCTATCTGATTTTGGTTTTGGGCATAGAACTTTTAGCAGCACACATATACATGATCGACTCTTGAAGTACCAGTTATAACAAGACTGATGGCGAGGTTCTTACTTTCGTTTCGTCACAGTAGGCATCTAATATCACGGTTAATCCACGAAAAACCACGTTTTCTTTTGAACGATATTCAAGCTATGGGCGTTCGTATTACCTGATTATATTGTTTGAAATACCTCCGTTGTTATTGATAATTTCATCTCACTGTGTTAACATGATGGGACAGTCTGAACCGACCCAAGTTTGTCAGGTTTCACGTCAGACATATCCGGCTGAAACCAAACTAGGCTGAGCAGTTTTCAAACGTGCTACTTTATTACTAAATCAGAAATCCATATCTTTTCCGAAATTAGGTCACGGAAAATTTAGGTGATATTGTGTTATGTGGCAGAAATTTCCAACTTCTTGAGTTGGTGTAATTTCACGTTTGCCGTAGCTACTTTTTTCACATATTTGTTCATTTTGTCGTGTTGAGCAATAACCCAATCACTTGTTAATGTCATTACTTTTACATAATTTTTTTTATCTTGATCAAAACACCCTTTTCTAAAACCTCTAATATGTCTGATAGTAAGTAGAGGTCGCTCCACTTCTCTAAATGCTCTCATTTGGCTACGCCTATATAGCCACTGTCGCGGAAGTCCTACTCACTGCCTTCTCGCAGTAAGGGTGTTGTTTACGAAGTTGAGAGGTTGAGGAATTTACGTCCGGCATTTGAATTAAGTTGGTGGGTACTCAGGATACACTTTAGGGAGTTGGGAAACCCTGATTCCGAACAAATGCCTCACATGATCTCTAAGATCCTGATGGAACAAATGGTGTATGAGCCTATTGTTAGTCGTCGACTACCATAAGAGTGCAACTCCTAATGTTGCCCTACTGCCTTTTGGGTTATATCTCTAGGTCAAACGAAAACCATTTTCTTTTTAGGCGTCCTGACAGTACCACAGCTCACTCAATCAAGGATTTGATTTTGACCAGTTTGTTCTCGTATGCTTTTATGGGTATAAGGGCGGATGTTACTTCTCGGCTGCCTACATCGTGAAAGAGTTCTGGTTATTAGAAGGGACATCGGCCTCGTGATTTCCGAAAGAACTCGGCTTTCATCATGAGACGTCATAACTCTTCTAGATGAAGACCTTCTAACTACCAGACCAGGTTTCATATGGTTTGAATTATTATTTATTTTAAGTTCTCTAACTTGAGTAACGCCAAACCACCGTACAAATGACAACACCGAACGTTAGACTCCCACCGTTCAAAAATAAGAAGATGGAAGACGTTGGAGAACATTTATTAATAGAATCAAAAATATACCATAAAACATGCGTGTTTATACAATTATATATATAATCGGTATTGTCGTTAAAATATTTGAACATTAATCAAATAGTTCATCAATCGACTGCCCCTTGAAATTTTCAGCATTTAATCGATAAGTTCATCAAGCGATTATGTGTGGGTGGCTTCTCGATTGGCTATCCCAACAATTTATTTTTAGCATTTCCGAGATGGGGTCGCCGATCCCAATCTCAACCCTCCTCCTTTATCCGGGCTTGAGACTGGCAGTAGCCCCGAAGGCAGAGTTTCACAGCTCACTCACGAATTCAATAATCTGCATAATGCATAAATATTTAGGTTCCTATTTGTACCAATATTTATGTGTTTAAATAAATAAAACCTGTTTTAATTTGCATTATTACTTTCCGTAATATAAATACACATCAATTTTAACTTTCTTTTCACACACTATATCCTTATTCCTCTTTTTATTGTCACTTTGGCTACGTTTTAAACATTTATCTAAACTTTAGGAACTGAAGTATGCTAAACATTTTTTAATAGTTACATTAATAATTGTAGTGCTATGTTGTATGCATCTGATGCGAAACCTTGAATGAATGAATTCTGCAAAACTTGATCTTGCTCTGTTTAATTTTACCATTCTATAGTCATGAAATTTTAGAGTATTTAGAGTACTGGTATCATAACACTAATTATAATATAATTTATGAGTGAGCATTACATTCCCATTTTCATACTGTGCATTAACTGTTAAATTACCAAAAGATTGCAGGAAATGGCATTGAATTTATGTATACATTGTCTCTTATCAGTTTGTAGATACCAAATAAGTCTAAAATGCCCCGACAAGCGGAGCTTGTTTGTTCAGAAGACCAAACATCCATACGAGGAACTTGTAAACTTGCAGATGCTGAATCACGTGTCGATTGTAGTTCACTTAAAGAGGCAACAAAAAAATCGAAACACCATTCAAAAAGAAGTTCTCAAACTACCCATTCAGGTAATAAAGACAAGTCTCTGAAAACAAAACATACGAAGAATAGAAATGATTCTTCAGTAATCACTAATCCTAAGCTTTCTTCAGATGTTAATCAGCCGAATAGTTCAAGTAAAGAAGTACTCGATAAAGAAACTATGCTTGAAAAAAACAAGCGTGAGCATGTGAAAAAAAAGCGGAAGCATTCGAAGGGTGAAACAGGGAATGAGAAGCGTATTAAACACGAAGAAGCAAACTCTGAAGGAACTGTTGATCAGTCGGTTGTCAAAGAATCTATCCGTAAACACAAGCATCGCGACAAACCTCATGGTTCGTCAAAAATATCAACTATAGACGGAGTGACTCATCGTTCTTCTACCAAGTCTGTTATTTACGAGGACAGTTGTCGTCAAGATGCTCCAAATTCCGTCAAAGACCAAAGCTCTGTAGTTGGTACACGTCATTATACTTACGAAGCTGCTCCAGGCACACCGTCTTCCAATTCTAGATGTTCATCACGTGGATCACATTCGTCTTGTAGCCGATCTCCGGTGCGCTCCGGAAAGCAGGAAATACACGGCGTCCATGATCCTCATTTCCATGAAAAGTTACATAAACAGAGATATGAGAAGACCAGTAGATCACCGTCAATGCATTTGCCTCACGATCACAGACCTGACCTCCCTACACGAGCCACAAATAATGGTCATGGGACTAATCCTGAAGAAAAGTATAATTCAGTAAAAAGAACACAGTCATCTGTTAGCCCACCTTCGAAACCTAGGCGGTACGATTCAGCTACTTTGAGTTATGGATATCGTCAATCAACACAACGTCATCATTTATCTCCTAATCATAGGTCTCACTCAAGACGTCATGGACCTCACCGTGAAAGGAGCCGTAGTGACTCGGAAAGGTTTGAATCTCGAAGAATTTCAACATATCGTGTAGCTGATAAAGAGCATATTCACTCGAAGGCTTATTTCGCTAAGGTGAAACCTAAATACCATGACCCAGATGACAATCTTGATGTGCATGAAGCTCGTTATTCAAAAAATTATAAACGTCGTCACATACACGATTCGCATACCACGAAAAGACATGGCAGTGGAAGTCATCGACGTGACGTACGTGAAGATATTGAATCGTTATCACCATCACCTAAAAGTTCAAAACCATTTTGTGAAAATTATGAACCACAACATCATCCAGCACGCCAGCAAGTCAATAACGTAAGTATCTACCGTCAAGGTAGTTAATAACGGTCTTCATATTTTTATACATTCATCCATTGCTTTAAAAATATTTAATTTGTACTTCGATTGCAAATATGTCGTATAATGGTTTTACAGGTATATATCTATTAACTAAAGGCTTGTCTTCGAATTAAATTTGTTGGAAAAATTAAACTAAATGTTAATCTACGTTACTGAAAAAATTAATATTATTCATGATATTCATCTAGTTCACTGTGATAAAATTTTTCCATGACAAGGTGTAAGATATTCGATACTCAGAATTCTACAAGAGACTAAAACTGCAGATGTTGTTTTTGTTATCAACAATTAAACGCTGAGTCAGAATTGCAATATTAAGTAGATGACGACCACATATCTTCTGGTCTTCAAAACACTTTGATCGCACCATGCATTCAGATCTGACACTCTTCTTTCAAGTAGTTTACTTCTGGGAGACAGTCTGCCTCATTTTATATATAAGCCATGTTGTGGGTAGTAATCACCACAATCGGTTGTCCTATCGGGATTTCTCGTTGATTCTACATCAAAAAAGGAGAAATTTAATCAAGTTTTTAAGTTTAAAAATAAATTTGGTTACCAAACGGCGGCTACTGACTATCTCCTTAGTCAGATCACATTTCTTATCATAAATACTGAAAGTGTTGTCAATAAACCTATACCGTTAAAATTCATCAATCATTTCTCATATTAGTTGTAGAACAATCTACTAATGACCAAACGTGGAGGCTTCGCACAACTATTTCATCCCTTTGTATACACACCGTATCGTTTAGTGTCGATCACATATTTAAAGTGTATCTCAGGAACGCCAGCATTAATAATTCCTTTTAAAGGATAATTTTTATCTATGAGGACCAGTAAAACTACCTAAATTGGAATACGTGGTGCGAAATTGGAACCTTGGACCTCTGATGGTCGAAAATTAACTACCGTGTGATGACAGACTTCTCAGATTTCCTAACCGATATTTGTGTGACCGAATTCAAACATGCTTCTTAATACCGAACGACTAAATAGTTAATCCTTATAGTTCTACCGTTGTTGTCGTAGATAATTTATCTTACTTACTTACTTACTTACGCCTGTTACCCCCAATGGAACATAGGCCGCCCACCAGTTTTCTCCAACCAACTCTGTCCTGGGCTTCTCTCTCCAGTTTTGTCCAATGTTTTTTCATCCTTCTCATATCTTTCTCTATTTCTCGGCGTAATGTGTTCCTTGGCCTTCCTCTTTTCCTTTTGCCTTGAGGGTTCCATGTGAGGGCTTGCCTAGTGACGCAGTTAGGTGCTTTCCGCAATGTGTGTCCTATCCACTTCCACCGCTTCTTCCTGATTTCCTCCTCCACTGGAATCTGGTTTGTTCTCTCCCACAGTTCGTTGTTGCTGATGGTGTCTGGCCAACGAATCCGAAGTATTTTGCGTAGACAACTGTTAATAAATACTTGTATCTTCTGGATGATGGCTTTCGTAGTTCGCCAAGTTTCCTCTCCATACAGTAGAACTGTCTTCACATTTGTATTGAAAATCCTGATTTTAGTTTTGGTTGAAAGTTGTTTGGAGTTCCAGATATTTTTCAACTGTAGAAATGCAGCCCTCGCTTTGCCAATCCGCGCCCTCACATCTGCATCCGATCCACCTTTCTCGTCGATGATGCTGCCCAGATATGTAAACGTGTTAACGTCCTCCAAGGCATCTGCATCAAGAGTGATTCGGTTGGTGTATGTTGTGTTGCATCTGAGAATTTTGCTTTTTCCTTTATGTATGTTAAGACCTACTGCTGCGGAGGCAGCTGCTACACTGGTTGTCTTCTCTTGCATTTGTTGTTGAGTGTGCGATAGAAGAGCCAAGTCATCTGCGAAGTCCAGATCGTCCAGCTGCGTCCTAACTGTCCATTAGATACCGTGCTTCCCTCCAGATGTTGACGTTTTCATAATCCAGTCGATCACCAGGAGAAAGAGAAAGGGTGAGAGTAAGCAACCTTGCCTGACACCGGTCTTTACCTCAAAAGAGTCTGTTAGCTGTCCTTCGTGTACGATTTTGCAGTTGAATCCATCATAAGAACTGCGTATGATGTTAACTATTTTCTCAGGCACACCGTAGTGTCGAAGAAGCCTCCACAGTGTTTTCCTATCCACGCTATCGAATGCTTTCTATTAGTCGATGAAGTTGATGTATAGTGGTGAGTTCCATTCTATTGATTGTTCCACAATGATCCGTAATGTAGCAATTTGGTCAGTACACGATCGATCCTTACGAAATCCGGCCTGTTGATCTCGAAGTTGGGCGTCTACGAAGTCCTTCATTCTGTTTAACAATACCCTGTTGAAGACTTTGCCTGGTATTGAGAGAAGAGTGATGTCTGTGTAGTTCTCACACTTGCTGAGATCGCCTTTCTTTGGTATTTTGATGAGGTATCCTACTTTCCAATCTGATGGTACTTGTTCCTCATCCCAAATCTTCTTGAAGAGGATGTGAAATATTTTCGCAGTTGTTTCTACATCTGCTTTCATTGCCTCTGCTGGAATGTTGTCTGGCCCTGCTGCTTTGCCGTTCTAGATTTGTCTGATGGCCATACTGATCTCCTCAATCGTAGGTGCGCCAATATTAATTGGGAGGTCCGTGGATGCTGCTTCGATGTTGGGTGTGTTCAGTGGAGCTGGTCGATTCAATAGTTCCTTAAAGTGCTCTACCCACCTATTTCGCTGTTCTTCAGTGTTGCTGATTACTTTGCCTTCCTTACTTTTCACTGGTCGTTCTGGTTTACGATAGTTCCCGGCGAGCTTCTTTGTTGTTTCGTACAATTGTCTCAAGTTTCCTTCTCTTGCAGCCTTTTCTACCGTCATTGCTAGATCTTCCACATATTTTCGTTTGTCAACTCTGATGCTCTTCTTCACTTCCCTGTTTGCTTCTGTGTATGCAGCTTGTGCGGTAACTTTCTCCGCTCTTGTTCGGCTGACATTGATTGCTGCCTTCTTGTTCCTCCTTTCTTCAACTTTTGCAAGAGTATCAACAGAGATCCATTCCTTGTGATGGTACTTCTTGTGACCCAGAACTTCGTGACATGTTGAAGTGATTGCCTCTTTGATCCCTTTCCAATTGTTCTCCAATGTTGCTTCCTCTCCATTGTGTAGATCCTGAAAGGCCTGGAACCTATTGGTGAGGGCTATCCTGAATTCGTTGAGCTTTACAGTATCCCGAAGAAAGGCCGTATTAAACTTGTGTGATGTTGTCTGCCCCGTTGTCCAGTGCTTCTTTAGTTTCAGTTTCATTTTGGCGATTAGCAAATGGTGATCTGAGGCTATATCAGCTCCTCTCCTGGTTCTCACATCCTCCATAGTCCTTCTGAACGTTTTGTTGATACAGATATGATCGATCTGGTTTTGAGTAGTGTGATCTGGTGAAATCCATGTAGCTTTGTGTATGCGTTTGTGTGGGAATATTGTGCCACCGATGACCAGTTTGTTGAAGGCACATAGGTTTGCGAATCTCTCACCATTTTCCTTTCTTTCTCCCAGTCCATGTCGTCCCACGATGTCTTCATATCCAGTGTTGTCCATTCCAACCTTGGCATTCAGGTCTCCCATAAGAATAGTCAAATCCTTTGGTGAACATTTCTCGACGATTGACTGCAGCCTTTCGTAGAATTGATCTTTAACATCGTCATTGCAGTCATTGGTAGGTGCATAACATTGGATGACGTTCATTGTAATGTCCTGTTTCTTTGTTTTGAAGGATGCTTTAATGATCCTGGGTCCATGAGATTCCCATCCTATTAGTGCCTTTTGTGCATGTTTGGACAGAATCAGTTCAACTCCTTGTGTATGTGAACCATTTTCCTCTTCATGACCAGAGTATAAGAGCAGTTCCCCTGAAGCTAGTCTCAGTTGTCCTACTTGCGTCCAATGTGTTTCACTGATTCCAAGCACCTCGAGGTTATATCTTTTCATTTCTGCCGCAACTTGAAATAGTCTTCCAGCCTCCCACAATGTACGAACGTTCCATGTACCTAAAAAAATGGTTGCTCTAGTTGTCAGAAGAGGCATCAGCCCCGTGACTTCCAGTCAGTCAGTCAGTCGCAACGTAGAACTTCGTACGTATGTACATAAGTTCATGTTGCCATACCACATTATTAGCACAGAGACGCAAATGTCAAATCAAATCCCATAGTGATAAAGATAGTAGAGGTATTAATGTTGTAATAAAGAAGACTAGGGTTTAAGATATTATTCAAAAAATATAATTCAGTGAGATAAGGTTAGAAAGACAAACGTAGAGGTGCTAGCTAATCCAGAAGATTAGGATTTGAGAGAGCTCAAAGAGTGGATGCACCTGCGCCATTGCAAAAGATTTTGAGCCATGTCGTTCAAGGTCTTTAACCATCGATTATTATCATCCCGCGGACCCCAACCAGGTAGTCTACATCTACCAACATGACTCAGTCCACTTGTCAGTGACTTCATGGATTTCTGCCATGTTTTGGTCTGGCCGCCCCTAGCTTTCTTCCAACCTACTCCTACACCACAAAACATAGCTCGTCGAGGCAGTCGGAGGTTAGGCATACGTAAAACATGTCCCAACCACCTCAACTGATGAAGTTTCACCACTTCATCGATTGATCTGCCATCCTTACCTAGTACTCGTTTCCTAACGACAGCATTGCTTACTCGGCTGTCCCACGATATACGAGCAATGCTTCTTAAACATCTATGATCGAATACTAGTAACCTACGAACATCTTCTACTCTTAACGGCCATGTTTCACAGCCATATAAGAGAACGGAACGAACTGCTGCGCAGTACACCCGCCCTTTGGTTAGCGAACGGATATCACGCCTACGCCATAAGTGACGCAGGTTGGCAAAAGCCAATCGAGCTTTCTGTATCCGAGCTGAGATTTCGTCAGTCACCAGACCGTCAGCACTGATGAGACTCCCCAGATAAGTGAAGTGATCTACACGCTCGACTACTTCACTCCCTATCACTAGTTCAGGTGCCGAAGCAACCCAGTCTTGAAGCAACATTTTGCATTTCGAGGGGGTAAGGTAGCAGCTTCGGTCGGTCCGTGACTTCCAAGGGAACTCGGCTTTCATCACGCGACGTCATAATTCTTCCTCCAACTCCCAGGGCAGAGTTAAAATTGTTTGAATTAGTTTATCTGGTTAGCGTTTTTTTGGCAAGTTAGTTTTTGACGGAATGGGGTCGCCAACCCCATGTCCAACCCTCCTCCTTTACCCGGGCTTGGGACCGGCAGTAGCCCCGAAGGTTCTGCTGGCGGAGTTAGATAATTTATCTACTTTTCTTAATGTATAAAACACTTTTCAGACTAACAAAATCACATGCCTTCATACTTCTATGAGAAGTTTGAATAGAAATTCACTGATCACTGTAAGTTTTAAAACCCAGGACTTTGATTCTTTATCCGATAATAAATAATAATTTAGTCACATATTCTTTGTAACATTCCTTTCTATATTTTCTTTATACATAGCTTGGTCAGAAATCATATGATATACCATCTCTTTGCTTGCAATGATATCAAAATGTGATTAAGGACTGATTGAAATTAGAGTCTCAAATATATGTCCGTTTTCTATTCTTAATGATGCTTCTCTTATATAGTTTATACTATGGCCATGTTTTACCAAACATTTATTCCAAACCATTAAATATGTTAGAAACTCTAACTAAATCTATTTATAGCTAGTTTATTTACATTGTTTTTGAAATCGTTTGCACATTAATCCAATAAAAGTGTCAAACACAGTACGAGGTATATTTGTATACTTGCTTTACGTAACTAATAATGCCATATAATTTTGTTTCCTTTCACGTTCATACATCAGCATCTACGTTTCTCGTATCTTACCTTGTCAATTTAGTTACTAAAATCCCAGTCAGACGCACACCCACCTCCTTTACCAAAGCGCGATCAACGAAGTACAAATGAAGTTCACGATTCTTGTAGTCCAAGTCAAAAGACAGCCAATAAAATTCCAGTTTGTATAGAGTCCACTCATCATCCTTCGAATTCTTCCCCTCATCCTCCCTCTCTTTTATCAAAGGACAAAGATCGAAGACTACAGGCATCTCACGCCCTTTGTGAACTGTTGGATGAATTAAAGTGTGAAGATGTCTCAGATACTGAATTACACCTGGTAATCCCACCTTCTATGATCAATACTTTGTCGCCAGTTACTTCAGTGAGTTGTAATAATGAATTAACAAGTATGACTGAATTGTCCGTCAAAAAGAACCGTGATAGTAATGATATTAATAAAAATAGTGCCAATTCAGATCAATTTACTACTGAAAAAGATGAAAAAAATTATCAAAATAAACTCAATGATAATATCAATTTAGATTCTTTAGAAGCTTTATCCACCCAAATTAGACAACAAATGACAGGTCCAGAAAACTGGGATATTAATGATTTAACAGATCCTATCGAACTTCAAGAAGAATATTCAGAAAATACAGCTGATCAAACTGATGCAGATTTATTAGATTCCGAGAAGTCAAACGATAATTTGTACACACCATGGCAAGAATTAATTGAATCAGCTGGACAAAAGTTATCTTTAGATGCTACTAAATCAGATGAACAAGATTATGTTCAGTGTGTTGGAACTTTCATCGCTGGCATAGAACATCAAGATATTGTAAGTGTATTTCTGATAAATTTGTAATTTTTCCTTCCAAAATTATCAGTTATCAAGGTTTCCATGTTTATTAGTATATTTTATTGTTGATATATATTTAGACCTCACTGCTTCTCTAAACTGCTAAAATATTTTTTTCTATACACAAGCTGCTCATTCTTGTCATACACCAAAATATTTATTGGCATAAATCTCAGCTCCATCTACTATTGAGGTAATTTTCTAAATCTTTATTTTATTCATTTGTTTTGAATTCTAGATTCCATTAAAGGGACGTGCCAATGGTATGGATGTCTTATATCGGACTGGAATTAGCCGTACATATTTTGATAGTGATTTACTTAGGCATTTAACAGCAAATAACAATACAAATGAACAGTCTAGAGAGACTAACTTGTGTCAGACAGTTGAATTCCCAGATACATGGGCTAAAACAAATTGTAGAAATTCACTAACTGGTTCAGGGATTTTGAATCAATTGTCCAAATTAGCATTACCTTTGTCACGTAAAACAGATGGTTATCTACGTCAAAATTTATTGAAAATTATCAAATGTACATAATTACGTAAACTTCTACATATTTCTTTTCTTCTTTTTATAGTTGATTTATAAAGATATTTTTGTTTAAAAAAAATCACTTGTTTTAGCACTGTTTACATGGCACTTATTTGTACAAATCACTATTGCGATAAATTTCTGTTATTAACTTTCTACTGTGTGAGAGAGCTGTATTTTTGTTCGTTAGAAAATTTTTGTTATCATAATGTATATAATAAACTCTGACTTTTAACTCATATATCATAAGTTTACTTCATCATCTTTGCAACTATTATTGTAAAATAAAGTTAACACTCTAATGTATCACAGATAGACAAACAGACAGATACAACGCAGAACTTCGTACATAAGTACATCAGTTCATGTTGCCATACCACGTCAGCACAGAGACGTAACTGTCAGTTCAAATTCAAGAGTGATAGCGATAGTAGAATTATTAGCAGCAATGGAGAAGATTAGGGAGCGAAGATATGATTCGAGAAGCATAATTCAGTAAGATAAATTTAGAAGGAGAAAGAAAGAGATTATTGAGGAATTCAGAAGGTTAGAATTAAAAAGCACACAAAGAGTGGATGCACCTGCGCCATTGCAAACGATTCTGAGCCATGTCGTTCAAGGTCTCTAACCATTGGTGACTTTCGTCTCGCGGACCCCAACCAGGTAGCCTACACTTACCAACATGACTCAGTCCACTTGTCCGTGACTTCATAAGTTTGTGCCATGTTTTGGTCTGACAGCCTCTAACTTTTTTCCAACCTACTTCTACACTACATAACATAGCTAGACGAGGCAGTCGGCGGTTAGGCACAAGTACCACATGTCCCAACCACCTCAACTGATGAAGTTTCAGTGCTTCATCTATTGATTTGCCATCCTTACCTAGAACTCGTTTCCTAACGATAGCATTGCTTAATCAGCCGTCCCAGAATACACGAGCAATGCTTCGGATGCACCTATGATCGAAGACCAGTAACCTACGAATGTCCTCTACTCTGACTGACCATGTTTCACAGCCATGAAGTAGGACGAAGCGAACTGCTGCACATTACACTCTTCCTTTAGTTAACAAGCGGATATCTCGCCTACGCCATAAGTGACGCAGGTTGGCAAAAGCCAATCGAGCCTTCTGTATCCGTGCTGAGATTTCGTCAGTCACCAGGCAAGCAGTCAGCGCTGATGAGACTCCCCAGATAAGTGAAGCGGTCAACACGCTCGACTGCTTCACTCCCTATCACTAGTTCAGGTGCCGATGAAACCCAATCTTGAAGCAACATTTTGCATTTCGAGGGGGAAAACCGCATCCCGAACATGCTTGCATTGTTGCTTATGGTAGTCAGAAGACTGCATTTTGTCAGCGTCTTCACCGAGTAGAACTATGTCATCAGCATGTTCCAAGTCAATAAGCGAGCCACCTGGTAGAAGGTCTACTGAAAATTCAGATAAGGATAAGGTTATTTCTAGGAGCATGTCTATGATAAAATTAAACAAGAACGGAGAGAGTGGACAGCCCTGACGGACACCGGTGTTAGTTCGCCATAAGCTCTCACTCACTCGACCAGTGGTGTTCGAGTAGAGAGCTTGTATAGGGTTAATATAGTTCTTTGGTACACCTTTCAATGACAGACACTGTCACAGAACCTCACGGTCAACAGAGTCAAATGCCGCTTTTAGGTCCAGGAAAACAACTATTGTAGGACGTATAAATGTGTGTCTGTGTTCCAGGACCTGTCATAGTGTGAAAATGTGGTCGTTACGTAGGCTTTTTATCAGCATGCGCCTAAGCTGACTACGTTCTTCATCATGTTCAGAGCAAGGTGGGGTGAGTTTTCAAGCCTCTATCAGTTCGGTGGATGCTACTGAGATCCACGGCTTCATTCTACCCTTATGAATTACCTTACTAGAAGATTTCACTGCTGTTTCCACAGCTTTTTTGATATCATTCCATCCTGCTTCCGTATGGTAATCGCTAACATGATTGTCTAACTGTCTTTTTAGTTGTTCCTGAAATATATTCTTAGCCTCATTATCATTAAGTAGAACCCTAAGAGGTTTCGTTGCGGTGTCTTTCCTACGTCCAGTAAGCCTCAAACAAATACGCGCTCGCACTACAGCATGATCTGAATCTAAACATGTGCCCCAGAACTAGCGACAGTCCTCTATCGAACCCCTCCATCAGTGGCTGATGATAATCTGATCTAGCTGAGTCCAACGTTGAAACGAATTCGCGGGTCGCCAGGTCAAGAGATGCTTTCCCTTATGCCTAAAGTTAGTGTTAGCTAGGAATAGGTGGTTATCTGAGCATAGTTGCAACAGACGGTCGCCATTGTTTGTTCTTTGAGCCGCGACACCATAACATCCACCTAGGTGTCTCTCTTGCTCACTTAGTCTATCTACTTGAGCATTAAAGTCACCAGCCATTAATACAATATCAGAGCGCCTAGCTTTTTGGAGGAGGTCCGAAAGCTTTCTGTAAAACTCATCTTTGACCTCGTCTGAATTGCAGTCAGTGGGGGCATAGGCTGATATGACGAAGAGTCAACGACGAGTGTCCCTATCCTTTCGAATCCCTACTGTCCCGTTCGTTCGGACAGCACACAATCCACTATCTACAGGGATCCAGTCTAGGAGAGATAGTTCTGCCTTACGACTCAATACTATACTTACACCAGCGAGACCCCGGGAAGCAGCATCAGGGCTACCGGATACACGAAGAGTAAATCGGGATGCTTCTTTATTTTGATAAGGTGAAATCAGATTAATGATTTTACTAGGATTCTGTATGCGCGTTTCTGAGACGCAGCACACATCGATTGAGTGAGATTCTAAAGTCCTAGCTAATGATCCCTGTTGCCCTATTTGACACAATGTCCGGACATTAAATGCTCCAACATGTAGTTTAGAACGAGGTTTCAAGAGACCAGGAACGACATTTCGTGATCTCGCATCGTTTGCATTAGCGGTGCAGCAAGCTGAAGCAATGCGACTAGTGTTATTCGTAGAGATAAGAGAGATATTAGGGGATGTAGGAAGGATTTGATTTTGACCAATTTGGTCTCGCGTACTGTTACGGGTATGAGGGCGGTTGTCACTTCCTGGCTGCCCACACCGTGGAAGGTTGCTTCTTGAGGAACCTGAAAAGGAAGGTAGATTAGAGCCGGTCTTAGAGACCTGGTTGCGTGAGCGCAGTGAACAAGGGACAACTGCTTGTGGCCGGTCACGCACGGCCTTCTGACGAAAGGTTTTTAGAGTATTAGCTCCGCTCTTGAAAGCCTTTAGTGGGAACCTTTACCGCCGGAGATTGAAATCCGTGAAGTAAGGTGAGGTGTGATATTTTTAAGGCCGACCTTTTCTAACCCTTCCTTCCTTGTGAGAAGGCAGCATCGCTGCAGATGCTGGTTGTCCGAGGGAAACACCTTACTGCTGTCACACCCCTCTGCAGTCAGCAGTACGACTTCGCCCTCAGACCTTGAGTAGCTGCTTTTCCAACCGACCTGCCTGGCATGGTAGAACCTTCAGGAACATAAGCTCCAGCCAATATAGCTCGGTCGTTTTATGTCGATAGGTAAGCCCGACCACCACGTCTAGGTAGCAGCTTCGGTCGGGTGTATCACAGATATTGAAATTTTTATTCGAAACTAGAAGAACTAAATTTGCAGTAAACTACAAAATTCCAGTATCTGCCATTAACCTTGGTTGGTAACTCTGTTTCTATCAATTCTGGATGTTTGTTTCATGTCCTTTTAGCAGTTAGCTTACGATTTCAGTATATAGGAACCAGCCAAAATATTACCAAGCGAAAAACTTATTCAAAAATTCAGGAACTACATCTCATTTTAGGTATTCACAAGAGATTACTATTAGTCTAAACAAGTAATATCTACTATCAACCCATAGTTTTCAAAAGAAAATGATCCTACTTTGTTATTGTCCAATATTTAAAAATTACATGAATGCAATGAGCCTATTATTATTATATCGTCAAAACCTTTGTCAACAGACTGGAATACATTATATCAAGTCTTATGAACTACAAATTTCTTATCAATCAATAATTTCAGATGTTCCATAAATTGAGTGGGTTATCTCTCTAATGTAATAAAAATCACAAAATGTAATATATGACACTAGTCTAAGAAAATATACATTTTCTTCAGTGTCCTCAAACTCAGCCTCTTTAAATACAATATTTTATTGTAAGAACTATTACTATGATATGAAAACAGATCATATACAGATTTACTTAATTAAGAAATTAAAGATAGTTCATTCAATAACTTGAAATAATTAGTAGATAACAATTACGGCTTAAAAAAATTTAATAGAGTGATGACAAAGAAGAGACTAACTACACTGTCTAATATCTGGTAAAATACTAAAATCAACAACGCAAAACCAAATAGGTTCAGTTGTTGTAACGACATAAGTTGTAGATTACCCAACTCTCTGTCGGACTTGAACAGATAATCTGCTCATAGCACAAATCTCAAGAAATTGAAACATTGACTAACTGATTAAATTATATTTGGTTAGGGATGCTGAAAATAAATTCTAATTTATTTTAATTGATGGTTTATTGTCTTGCAAACAACGATTGCTAATTCTGTGTCTGATATCAAGTATCTGAGATTATATAAAGTTTGTGACAGATTATCTGTTCTGTTTCACACCATAATAGTGTATACAATTGCGTCTAGGTTTTTAATTGCTTCCCCTCACTGTTATTATTTCATGTGACGAGAATTAATTCCATTTATATTTAATTACTGTATAATTATGAAACAAAACATTACTTATGGATTCAAGTAAATAATGAAATGAACAAACATTTAATAGTCTCAACCTAAAGTTCATATTCAAAGAGTAGGTAATTTTCTCACAACAAATTATACTACTTAAAATAGACAATCTAGGAATAATAAATGTTTCATTTTCACAAAAAAAAATTATTGTACTGAGGTTTTCTAGTTGGTCTATGGTAAATTCTAATCACGCACGATTGAGGATTCGTTTAAGTTGAACTGTGAATAAGTCATTCGTGAACGTGAGACTAGTATTAAGGTGCATAGTTTATGTTTTTTAAGTCGGAAATATTATCTAAGCTTGATGTAATTCTGAACACATTATGTTTTCTGAGCGAAAATGTTTTTTTTTAATACTATATATATATATAAAACCAAACAAATTAAATAAACACTAGTTCAGATTGTACAAAGATAAG